CCTTCATTCTTTCGAGGTTTCAAACTTTAGACTTTTAGAGGTCAGCAAATCATTTTCAACTTATGAATTCAATAATATTTCTTTCTATTATCTTCAATTGTAAGTGAAAGAAAGTTTAGTGTTGTTATATATGACACTTTTATTGTCTCGTTACATTGATATTTGTGTGCTATTGTGCAATTTTATATTCTTTTATTATTTATAATTTTTATTGTCTTGTTAAACGAGTTTTTTTCCCGAAATGATGCTAATTAAATAAATAAATTCTCAAAATACTGTTGGGTTGAAAATAATTCCCAAAATACTGCTGGGTTAACCGTGGTTAAGAAACGCCGCCACTTGAAGTGGCGGCTCTTCTCTTACAATACAAAAGCCGCCACTTCAAGTGGCGGCTCTTCTCTTACAGTACAAAAGCCGCCACTTCAAGTGGCGGCTCTTCTCTTACAGCACATTTTGTACATATATAAACGCAGTATGTTTCAAGATTTTTTTTTAGCTATCTTCCCGATTGAATTTTGAGCTGAAATTTTGTATGAATAGACTAGACTTGATAAGAAGCATGCTCAAAAACATTTCATCAAAAAATTCTACTGGGAAGACCCTCTGATGGTGTTGTCTGCACGGGGGTTCCGGTCAGGACGTCGTGACAGGAATAGAACATTTTTATGAAATTTGAGGTGCATCCGAGTTGATTTTGTTGATGACATTTGGTGATCATGTTCTTTCTAAAGTGTAGGTTACGTTCACCCCAATTTCATATTAAATTTAAATCAAGAAGTTAGTTAAATTATTTATTGAAAAAACATGTATTTTTAGGCCTAAAAAATTGTGCAAATTTTCAAAAAAATTGTTTAACTAACTTCCCAATTGAAAGGAACCAACTTCAGATTCGAGCTATCACCGCCATCATTATGCCCTTAAAAAAATTCTTTCTCTTCCACTTGCTAAATAAATATGAACTCTATTTGGGCAGTTTATGGCCATTGGAAACAGTTTCAACACTCGTATCAAGTATTGCTCTAAGTTCCAATTGCAGAATCACAGTTTTGCACAATTCACTTGAGCTCATGTTCGGAAGGCAACAGTAAATTCAAGTTCTGTAATCTAGAGAAGCATGTGTAATCCTACAACATACAACCTATTGATAGAAATGCTCAAAGTAATGTAAAAATGGAAATGCATATCATATATAACACATGCAGCTAAAACATGATGACTTATGGGCAAATTATCAACAAATATGAAACAATAAGAAATTATAAAATATTGCTTCCGGGAAATAACATACCAAACGATTTAGTTGCATAATTTCTAAAATTTTCTTGGCAAAAGTTTTGTCCCATGCCTTCTGAAAATGTTCATGTAAAGTAGGTCTAAAAGTTGCAATTTTAGGCCTATTTCATTTGAGCTATTTCCCGGTCGAATTTGTTGATAAAATTTGGTGAGCATGTTCCCATGTAATGTAGATATGTCCACCAAATTTTAGATTGAAATTCAATCGGGAAGTTAGTTAAATAAATTTTTAAAAAATGCATAATTTTTTTGGCCTTAAAATGTAGCTTTTTTCAATAAATTATTTAACTAACTTCTGATTTAATTTTAATCTGAAATTCGGTAGACATAACCTACACTTTAGGATGAACACGATCACCAAATTTTATCAAAAAACTTGACTCGGAAGCCCCTCATATTTCATAAAAATGTCTCATTCCTGTCACAACGTCCTGACCGGAACCCCCGTGCGGACAACACCATCAGAGGGTCTTCCTGGTGAAATTTTTCGAGAAATATTCGGTTCACCTATGGCGTCCTTAGATAATATCATCATACTAAAATCCGAGATTCAATTAAGTTTTATCACTGGCTCATTGATAGCTGACAACTTTTAGAACACGTTTACTTCACGGGTTACTAAATGGTGTTTATTAAAACTCACATTAATAAGCGGCGCATAATTAAGCAGTGTTGTAATAAGAACATGTTTACTTCAAAAGATTTAAAACACCCCTTTAACATTAAAATGTCCAAAATAACTCTATACATATATAGACACATAAACATTCATGAACACAAGTACATAATATAAATATGTGGAGGTACCCCTACCCCACCCTACCCTACTCCCACAACCTTAACCCCTACCTCTTCCTTACCCCTACTCTAACCACGACCTTACCCTCTGCCCCTATTCCCCTCGTAACCCCTACCTGTTAAGGGTGGGTCGGGGTCAAGGTAGGGGCATGTGGTATGGGGTAAAGGGGTAGGGTAAGGGGGGCTGGTTCGGGGTGGTAAGGGCTAGGGGGTTAAGGTAGGTGGGGGGATGGGGTCGAGGTAGGGGCAGGTGGATGGTAGGGGTAAAAGGGTGGGGTCGGAGTAGGGAAGAGGTACGAGGTGGGGTGGAGGTGGGGTAAGTAGGGTAGGATAGGTAGGCGTCAGGTGGGATCGAGTTAGAAGAAGGTAGTAGGGGGTAAAGGGGTAGGGGTAGGTAAGGGGCTGGGGCGGAATGGGTTGGGGGTAGGTTGGGGGATGGGGTCAGGGTGGAGTAGTATGGACCCGGGTCGGGCCGGTTTCGGTTCGGGCCTGGGCCTGGCCGAGCTTTTTTTGGGGGAAGGGAGAACCGGCCCGGGTAGACAGCGGTTCCGGGCCAGTTCCGACATTTATTTATTGTTAGAAAATCATTATACTCATCAACAAAATCAACTCGGAAGCACGGTGCTTCAAGCACCTCAAATTTCATAAAAATGTCCTATTCCTGTCACGACGTCCTGACCGGAACCCCCGTGCAGACAACACCATCATGGGGTCTTCCCAGTGGAATTTTTTGATGAAATGTTTTTGAGCATGTTCCTCATCAAGTCTAGTCTATTCATACAAAATTTCAGCTCAAAATTCAATCGGGGAGATAGTTAAAAAAATTCTTGAAACATACTGCGTTTTATATATGTACAAAATGTGCTGTAAGAGAAGAGCCGTCACTTGAAGTGGCGGCTTTTGTACTGTACGAGAAGAGCCGCCACTTGAAGTGGCGGCTTTTGTACTGTAACCGCCACTTTAAGTGGCGGCTTTTCTTAACCACGGTTAACGCAACAGTATTTTGGGAATTATTTTTAACATTACAGTATTTTTGGAATTATTTATTTAATTAGCATTATTTCGGGAAAAAACTCCTTGTTAAACTGATATTTGTTAGCTATTGTAATTTACATTATTGATGATTTTGCTTCACATTGTTCTGCGATAAACATGTTTGAGTAATGTTTTTTCTTTTTATGTGATACTTCTGTTGTTATTTTTGCACAAATATGCAATTTAAATTATAATAAAGTGATTTTCGCCTTTATCATATTGACCTTTATTATACTAGTATAATTTTATTACAATTCATATTTTAAATAAGTATGGTTTACGGTTTGTCTTAGATATAAGCTCAAGCAACTAATGCAAGAAGTCTCCCAATGTGACGTCCTTTGTTGATTTAGGCTCTGTTTGCTTAAATAAAAGCACTTTTTGGGAAAAAGTGATTAGTAGTAAAAGTTGGTAGTGTTTGGTAAAATAAGCGTTTTTTGTGTAATAGAAAAGTAAAAAGTAGATTTTACACGAAAAATGAGGAAGTAAAAGTTGATAGTGTTTGGTAAAATAAGTGCTTTTTTCTTTAAAAAAAATGCCAAAATCACTTTTTTTAATTGATTGCAAACAAGCCCTTAATCCAACATGTAAAATGTAGGGACGTCTTTTCACAAGCAAATTCATAAAGTTTAAAGCGTGTAAAATGTTTGTTGATATATATCAACCCTTACTGATGGAGGTGATGCAAGTTATGACCTCAACGATCAATGATCTCAATAATGACCATATTGGTGACGTCTTGAATGATTTCATGCTATTTTAAACATTACACTTCAAGGAAATACTTCATAAAAAGACTATTAAGAGCTGGTTTGGTAATTTTATTTTTTGGCTTATTAGGTTTATGAGTCAATTTTTCACCAAACATGTAGCTTTTGATTTCGCGCATTGGATTGTGTAATAATAAAAGTAAATAAGGTTGAAGTTACTTTTCTCTCTGAATTGACGGAACTTACCGTAGAGTGTAGATGATCATTTTAGCTATTTTTCATATAATTTTTCCTTTACTTTATTAATAAAATATATTTACATGTAATATTTTTATAAATAAGCAAAATCAGTCACTTCAGCCAGAACTTCATAAATATAAGAGGGATCAACCAATTTAACCAATTTCAGTGTTGAACAAACATGCTCTAAGTTTATGGTGATAGCGGTGATGAGGACTCCAAGTGAAGATGACTACGACTTGGGGTCGATGCGGTTAGTGGGATGCAGCTACAATTTCATGGAGGTACAATGGTGATGTGGGTAGGGTTACAAAGTACCACCAGCACAAGGGAGCTAGGGGTACGGTTGCGGGATCGGTGTCTGGTGCGGCTAGGGTTATGGGGTTAGCCGTAGTAGCTGCGTTGGGGAGGCGTGATGGAGAGGGGGCTGAGGAGGCTGGCCACTTGGGAGGGGGTTGCAGAGGTGCCTGTGGAGGGGGCCCACCGGATAGACAGAGGCATCAGTCAGAAAAGGGTAGGCAGAAGTCGCCGCATGGGTAATTCAGTTGGTCGAGTGATAGGAAAGTTGAATGAATGACCAACATAAAAACCCACAACGGCTATGTGGAGGTTACATTTCATATATGTTGGGCTTGGTGCGCATGAATATAAGGTCTACCACATTTGGGTTGATTGAGTCACCATGATTTACCATGTTCCGTATGTCTTGTCAAGGCGTGGGGGCCGGATGCATAGGAGATTCTACCTTTTGGAGGAATGAAAGGTTGCTTGAAATATTTTTCGTTGGAGAGAGAAATCATTAATATCGCACTTCTTTTCTTGGTCTTCTTCTTAGACTCCGTATTAACAAAGGCGCTATAAGTGGTATGGTAGTGGCAATTTGGCATATACTAGTATGAAGGAAGTGTGTGCTATATATACCATCTCATCTCATAAATTAAGAGCACAACACATTAGTACAATATAATTAACCGGCCATCCAACTGCGCGGGCTCCCACTGTTCTGCTAACAACATTAGTATATACTCCGTACTATGTACGAAGTAGTGGCATACTATATATATGCATGATGGAATACTACCTCTCCACTGACCTGTTGTCGTTGTTCCTCTTCCTCTGTTTCATTATTGGGTGTGTGGTAGCAGCAGGAGGATGGAAAGGGAAGAAGTCATCGAAAACACTGCCGCCAGGGCCGTGGAGACTTCCCCTCATCGGAAGCTTGCACCACCTAGTTTGTGAGTTCCCGCTACGGCGGTTGAGAGACCTGGCTAAGATACATGGCCCACTGATGCACGTCCAGCTGGGACAAGTGAGTGCAGTCGTCGCCTCGTCCCCTGACATGGCGAAGGCCGTGTTCAAGACTCACGACCTCGCGTTCGCCTCCCGCGCCAAACTCTTGCTCCCGGAGATCGTGAGCTACAACCGAACCGGCCTTGTCATCTCTCCCTACGGAGATTACTGGAGACAGATGCGCAAGATATGCATCCATGAGCTCCTCGGGCCTAAAACCATGCAGCGCTTCGGTTCGATCAGGCGGGACCAAGTGTCCCGCCTCTTGACCACGGTCAGTTCTCACGGCGGGCGAGCCGTGAACCTTACGGAGCTCGCGTTGGTGTTCACGAGCTCGATGACGTGTCGATCTGCATTCGGGAGCACTTTCAAGGAGGGTGATGAGCTCATCGTCCACATGAGGGAGATGATGGTCCTGCTAGGAGGGCTTGACGTGGCGGATATCTTTCCATCCCTCAAACTCCTCCATGGGCTCAGCCATAGGAGGCAAAGGCTGCTTAGGCTCCATATGAGAGTCGACGCCATCCTCAATGTCATCATCGACAGCCACAAAAAGAACAATGAGGGAAACGGGGAGATGGGGCGCGAGGATTTGATCGACGTTCTCTTAAGGATGAAGCGTACTGATGATGGGCTTCAGTTCCCCATCACGGACGACAACATCAAGGCCGTTGTGTTTGACCTGTTCATCGCTGGAACAGAAACATCATCTTTGACAATCGTATGGGCAATGGTCGAAATGTTAAGAAATCCGAGAGTCCTAGCCCAAGCTCAAGCCGAAGTGAGAGGGGCCAGCTTCAACAACAGCGCTTTCGACGTAAAAGACGTGGAAGAACAACTCAAATTCTTAAAACTTGTAGTCAAAGAAACTCTTCGCCTCCACCCCCCAGCACCGGTTACAATCCCCCGAGAATGCATTGAGGAGACAGAGGTGAACGGCTACACAATCCCGGCCAAAACATGGATCATGGTCAATTTGGCGGCTGTAAGCACGGACCCGGCTTATTGGGAGAAGGCGGATAGCTTCCTTCCGGAGAGGTTCGAGAACAGCACCGTTGATTTCATGGGGAATAACTTTGAGTTTCTCCCGTTTGGGAGTGGGAGGAGGATATGCCCGGGCCTCTCCTTTGGTTTGGCCAATGTCTATCTCCCTTTGGCTAAATTGCTTTTACACTTTGACTGGCAACTCCCCCCAGGACCGCTGTATTCCAGCAGCTTGGACTTGGATGAATCTCCTGGAGGTACTGCCCGGAAGAAGGACCCTCTTTACTTGCTTGCTACTCCATATATTCCTCTTCCTTAACTCTATCAATCAATTTAATGCATTTTCTGATTAATAATATAACTGCACCAATAATGATTGTGAGTAATCAGCCCTGCTCTAAGTTCTGTTTATACATATACAGAATAATAATGTTAATCACTTGATGATGCAAGGCTCCCCTTTTAATTGTCTCATCTTTATTATTAGGTGGCCATACCTATAATTATGCCACTCTGTACGTAATAGCTTGTCTAGCTGCCTTACTGAGATCTTTTACCCACATTTGTTTTCTTATTCATTGGCTTTTAAGGTGATAAAAATTTAGGATTATATATAAGCATTTAGTCCCTAAAGATTTTTAGTAATGTTTTGAGATGATGAGAATTGAAGATTATTATCATGAAAAATGACATTTATAACTTACAAGGGAATCTTATGGAACCTATGACGATTTCACTAAGGGGTCATATGAACCCATATGTCTCCGGTCTCCATCATAACCACACACTTTTGTAATGGGGTTAAAAAGTACCATATAACTTTAAATTTTAAAATTAGATTAAAAATGTGTAAATAAAGAAGTTAGATTCACTGTCCTTAATATCAGGGATGATAACTTCAAATGTTATCCACTACTAAACATAGTTAAAGATAAGCACATCATCTATGAAGTGCAAATCACGCCTTATATTGGAGGTCATGTTTGGCCATCGCCATTTGGGACGGTTTCCGGTAAAAAAAATTGATTAATTTTTTTGAGAATCTTCTTAATTAAGTCTAGTTCACTCATACCAAAGTTCAGCTAAAAATTCAGTCGGAAAGGCAGTCAAATGATTTTCTGAAATGCACTACGCTGTTTAACTGTACAGTTATCTTCAAAAATTCATTTGACTGCCTTCCCGATTAAATTTATACCTGAAATTTGACATGAGTAAACTAGACTTAATGAACAAGATGCTCAAAAAATTTCATCAAAACATTCTACCGGGAACCACCCCAAATGGCGACGGACGGACAAAACCTCCTATATAGGGGGTGATTTGCACTTTTTAAGTTAGTTCGAGGGTCTATTTGACCCTTTAGCCTAGATAATTTTGATGGAGTTTGGGAATCGGGAGGCACGAGCTGTCTGAAGACTAGTATAAATTGGTAATTTTGAAATTAAAATGAATATAAAATCTTAAAGCCTAAAAAGATGTGAACAGACGTGTCACTATTGATTTAGCAACAAATGTGTTGACCTACAACCAGCAATACTTAAATTAAAATTAAATGTATTAAACTTGTTTGAGCTGCCCCAAAAAAACTTTTTACTTTCTTTTTAAAATTTCCAAATTATCAAAGAAAATTGAACATCAGATGTAATTAATTGAATTTAAAAATGAAAATGAAACCTAGTGACATTATATATAAAGAAAAAAAACCGCCTAATGTTTTCTTCTATACTTTCGGGCCTAGGGCGGTTGCCCTTGCTGCCCTCCCCCTAGGACCGGCCTTGCATATGCGCACAATGTCTAATTTAATGAATTGACATATTTTTCCTAGACTAGATGGTCATACTTTGAATATGCTCCAAGGGACTTGTTTGCAATTATTAAAAATATTAAAGCTATCCGCGTATCATTGAAGTTCATTTTTCCTTCTAGCCTTGACAAGCAAATCAACAAATACAAACGACTTGCTAAAATAGAGAAAATTTTGAATTAAAAATGTAATTATCAAATATAATTAATTAAAGGGGTGCATGTTTTTTATTAAAATAATTAACATTGAAATAGTTAAGCAAGTTGAAATTGATTAGTTAGCAATGCAACACTAAAGTAAGTTGTTTTTTTATCATAAAAGAGCGGCTATTATATTAAAATAAAGAACACATACAAGACAGCTTTCAGACAAAATTTACAGATCCAATCATGAATCCTAGGAGTAGACTTAGAATCGGCCACCTCATACAAATCAACATGACTCGCTAAACCTGACATAGTTTTATCATTTAAAATCTAAAATTTTCCTTTTTCCATCTTGGTATTTTTAATTTCTTTCTAATTTCTTAATTTTATATTATTATATTATATAAATTATACGGAGTATGACATGGTTTATCATTTAATTTTAGGATTTCAGGTAAATGTTTTGGAGGGTTTGGCTATTTTTAATGAAAATGCATTAATAATATAACTTTAAGTGATATAATCATTATTATGGAAATGTATAAAAATAGTTTGAAATGAAGATGAAAATGTATGGTAGAGCATACAAAGTGAGAATAATAAGGAAATTTATGTATGTATAAATGAACTTTTTTTTTACATAAAATAGGAAAATTATGCATGCAATAAAATATTTCTATAAAAGTTTATATGAAAATTTAATAGATAAGGATGGTAAGATCTAAGACACAGTATCCGTGTGGATGGCCGCGACGACGGGGGAGGTGTGTCGCGGCGATATGGTCCTTGAACTATTAAATCTATCATTTTAGTCCTTAATCTATTTCATCTATATTAGTTGAGTCCTTCCGTTAAATTTGCCGTTCACTTTGACAGAAGCTAATTAATTTATTTACATCTCATAATCTTAAACATTTTAAAACGATACAATCATTCTTAGAATTTAAGGAGCTAATCTAGTTTTTGTTTTAAATATACATATATGTACACATACGCATATAAAAATTATAAATAAATAATATAAAATCAAATGTACGGCCTAATTAAATAATACGTACAGAGTAGTATATAAGAGAGAATCAAATAATCAATTATATACATATGAGAATATAAAATTAAATAAGAAAACGAGGGTGATTGTTATTATTATTAATTATATTTAGAAAAAAATTAAAACTACATATGACTAAAACTCACCCACTTTCTCAATACATGACCTCATTACCCCCCCCCCCCCCCAAAAAAAAAAAAAAAAACAATACTCCGTATTTAAATTCCTAATATTTAATAAATAAATAAATAAATAAATTTTATGGACTAATTTGCCCTTACATTTTTACCATAATATACTCTTAGATTGATATTATAAAACTCTAACTTCCTACTCATTTTCTAAAAACCACATCGCTGCGGCACATGATGCCCACATCGCCGCGACACACCTCCCCCGTCGTCGTGGCCATCCCCATCTACTAAATTTTCATCTATTAGAGCAACTCCATTGGTGATACACAAATAAGCAGTTTTTTTGTGCCACATCATTGCCACATATAAAATCATTAATGATATAAAATATTCTTAACGTGCTCTCAATCATGATCTTAGATTATTGTGATTTTTGTATAAACTGCATTAAAAGATTCTCTTTCCTAGAAATTAAACACACATGTATGTATGAGTCATATGTGTATATATATTGACTAGCGTTGAAGCGCGCATTCTGTGCCCGATGATAGGAAACAAGCAAAATTTTGGGGGAAAATAGCGTAGAACATAAAGAGAAAACAACAAATGATGCATCCAAGCATGCCATTACATACATTGGGCAAAACTAAAATAAAGGGAAATTAGTCGTTCATGTTTTACATCCAGGTATATGGGTAACTTGAAACTTAAACTCTTTAAGGCTGTTGTCATTAATAAAGTAGTTGAATTCTGAAATATGCTAAATAACAGAATTCTCTTGAGTTAAGTCCATCAAACTAAACCTTGTATGCATCAAATGTAAGGTTTGAAACATCAGAACACATTTTCTCCCAACGACACAATTTGAAGCATAAGAGCTGACGTGCACTTTGTCGTGTGTGCACTCAAAGTAATTTCAATACTAGCACTAATACATAGTATAGTGAAGTAGAGTTCGTATCCTCAGGGAAATGAATAATTCTCTTTTTATGTAACTAGTAAATAAGGGGGATTTTGGGATTGAGTGATTTAATTAAATTAAACACGAACATGAACGAGTTATATGTGATTAAATTCAAAGATAAAATGGGACTTGGTCTTGCTACTTTCCACTTGTTGATATATTTTAGTCGATCATTGTTATATCTATAACTTATCCCCTCTCGAATACTCAATCGCGGAGTATCTCCAATTCATCAAGGGTAGTTATTAACAACGACCGTTCATTAATAACCCTTACTATTAATCAAATATAGAACAACGCCGTATACCGATATAATAGTAGCAACGGTTTTGGTTTAACCAACAAAATTAATCCCTCTTAAGTTAATTAACCACGACCGTGCATTAATAAACCGAAGTTACTTACTTGTGAAACCATCAACGATTAACCATCGGTTTGTTGATCGTTTCTAGTAATAATTAATGTCGGAACGTTAACTAATTGTCACTTAGCAACCCTCCAACATTAATATAGAATGAGATTAAGGGAAGAATTAATAATCAAGAGGAGAAAGTAAGAAAATAACTCACAACTTTAATAATCAACAAGATTCAAGAGCAAAACCAAGAAATGGAAGTTTAGCTCCTCATTTGGAGACTAAACATGCTAAAAGAAATATAGAGAAATGCTATTCTAAACTGAGCTTAAGAGTATAAAGGAATTGGTCTCCCATTGTGAAGGAAAGGGGGTGTATTTATAGGCTTTTTTGGGGTGCAGGTCAGGTACTCGATCGAGTATATATAGATACTCGATCGAGTATGTGTAGAAACTCGAATTCGATCCATACTCGATCGATATTCGAGTAAAATTTATAGCTATACCCGATCGAGTATGTTGGTGTACCCGATCGGGTATAGACACTCGATCGTGGTCAAAATCTTCTCTGCATGTTCCTTTGTTTTCGGATCCGATCCGATTTGAAATTTCAACAAGATACCCGATCGAGTATAGGTGATACTCGACCGGGTATAGACCAAAAAATCAGGATCATCCCTTTGTCTTATGATTTTTCACCTTCCTTCCAGATTTGGGGTTCACCAACTGTCCTCTGAGTGATAGTAGACCTGTTTGAGCTCAGAATAAACTTAATCTAAACAATTTACAAGTATTTAACAAACTAAACTATTACACCAAAAGTGTGTAATTTCCAAAGTGAAAACCAATCAAAACTACTTAAAATCACAAACATAAATATGGAAATTACATGATTATCAAGAACTAAACAATCGTTGGTCCGCTTCCATCGGTTGTTTAGCATTGCTGAATAATTGTGAAATGTATGTTACGGAGTACAAATTTGGATATATTAAAAGACGTTTTCACTTGAATTTAAATTTGATGAATTAATACTATTTTTTGGTCCGATGAATTTTGTATCATTTTCACATTTTTGTCTTTATCTTTTACTTTATCCAATTTTAGTACTTATAATGTTTTTGGAAATATCAATAGAAGGGTCATAAATGAGAGTAAAACAAAGATATGAGCTA